CATCGCATGTGTGTACAAGGCAAAATCTGCTACCCTGGTGAGACCCCACAAAGCCATGGGGCTTTTGGGGTTGTGTGGTAACGCTGGGTGTGCCATGAAGGAGTTATTAAAGTGATCATTAAAGTGTGACTCATTCTAACCGCAGAGTGCAGAACCAAATGTAAAGCCCCCCCCCCCCCCCCCCCCACCCAATTACAAACCAATATACTACATAACATATATTTTTTATGGCAAATGTCATGTAATACCGCATGTTGGCCACTAGCTGGCGATAAGGAGCACATGGAGTCAGTATTAATTTCCTATGCTCCACAGCTCCACCTGGTGGTTCAGAAAGATTCGCAGGGCAAATGGCTCTGTAAATTGTTTCTAAAGGGACCCCTTATGTGCATCACATTTGGAATGTGAACTCGTTGGAAATCCTTCTATGAACGGTCATTCTGATATTACACGTCTATTGTTTGTAGGGATTGAGCCCCAAAGTGCTCCCTTCTGTCCTGGATGAATACCTCTCTGGTGTGAGCGATCCGTTTGTGTTCCGCGACCGTCTCTTGGATATCTGTGGAGACCTGATGTTCGTTATTCCTGCCCTGAGAATCGCCAAATATCACCGAGGTACAGGGTGCGAAGAGGGAGGAGTCAGGATTTGTTGTGGTGATATCATCTTAGTTTACTGACGGGGGATGGGAGGGGAATCTGCTCAGGAGGACAAGAGGGTGTCGTGTGATCAAGTCAGTGTCCCCTCCCCCTGTGATCAGTCTCCCCTCCCCCAGTGAACTGCACAGGCATGCTTGTGTCATCTCTTTGCCGGCATCTCAGTCCAGGAAGTAGATGGTGGCCCTGGATGATGCCTGAACAAAGATGGCTTCCTCCTTCTGGAGAGAAAATCAGATGAAGGCATTGTCGTGGGGGGAGGTGATCTCTGTGAGAGGTAGTAGATACCTGGAAGGGTCACGCTGGCACATTACTCAGCATACATGTACCTAATATGAAAAAAAGTACACCAGATGACAGGTCCACTTTAAACTGAATCAGTCTCTTTGTAAAGTTGTCTTCACCATCCGTCTGTTCACCAGACTCCGGACTTCCTGTCTACTTCTACGAATTCCAGCACCGCCCGTCCTTGTTCCATGATGTCAAGCCGGACTTTGTGAAGGCGGATCACGCCGATGAGATCGTCTCCGTGTTTGGAGGTCCCTTCCTAAGAGACGGTATTGTCCTTGCTGGTGAGTGCCGATCCTACAGGCCGCCATTTTCAGAATCCAGAAGGTGATGGTTGATGGAGGGATCAGATGGGGGTATGGGCCGCCATAGTGGTGGTAGTGGGGGGCCATAGTGCCGTTGGCCAGAAATAGGAAGATACAGAGGGGCTCTATAGGAGTCTGTTTGATCTACGAGAGTTGAAGGCGCAGTCCACCTTTCAGACCATTCATGTTATACCCAACATAAAGCATGGATACCCATCCCCCAACCCACCCGTCCCCAGCAGTACACCCAGAAAAAAAAAATCATCATGCCGTAAAGTCCAACTTTATCCTTCCAGGACCAGCTTCTCAAAGCCCCACCCGGGACCTCATCACCTGATGCCTTCTACCAACCCTTGGGTTTAAAACGTATGATT